GCTATATTTAGCTTTTGTCTTTTGGATAATTAGCTGTAAATTCGAGGCACAGGTAGCTTAGTATGTTGTTCATCACCACTCACCTCCACACCAAGACAAACACTACTGGAAAGGGAGGGATGGCTTCACTTCTGCGGCTCTCTGCCTGACTAACTGTGATGTGCCGATCAATGTGTACTACACTGCTGTGCTACGCGGAGGGGAGAAAGTCTCAACTTGATATTTAGATTTTTTATTTGTTTGACAGGGAAAGCTGTGCGCAAACAGAAACACACACATATATACATATATTCATAAAAAAAATACTCCCCAGAAAAAAGGGCAATTTCTCTCAAGGAAGAAAAAGGGCAGGTGCTCAAGCCCCCTTTGATGTCTATGTGTGCACGTGCCTGCTCATTACGACACAAACAGTGGTTCAGTTCCAAAACCTAGTGAGGTCCTTGGCTGTCTACTGCCTACAGCCATCTAGTCAAGAACAGCATCCTAACCAAAATGGAAACTGTGAGGTTTGGTGCCAAAAACCTTTGGTAACAAACTTTATTTATAAAAAACAAAAAAAACAAGGCAGAAAACAAACAAGAGCTGACAGACACTGAGTCTGGGACTACCTTTACCAGCAAGGACACTAGGAGAGGTGAAAGCCAAGCAAGCATCAGATCCAGAAGAACAATTCAAAGGGTGAATACACGTGAGAAATCAGAGCCAGGCAGGAGGTAGTAATGTTATCAGAATTTTTACATAAAAATACATCATAATTTAGAAGTAATAGGCTATTTTCTGTCCTGTTGTGTCCGCCCTCATCAGATTGCTCTGTTTGAATAGGCGTGGTGGATTGTAGACTCGGAAGTAAACGCCCACTGCTATGATTGGCTAACAGTTATGAATGTTTGACAGCCTATATCCTTCACAGATGGACGCTGCTGTGATTTAGGTTAAAAATGCATAAATACTCAGTACATATCAAACGATCTGTAATAACAGACAAAGCAATAGTGTCCACATAATAATAAAAACAGTTACTCACACTTGTGTGGTGCGACATTACTGTCGGATCCAATATAGTCGACACAGCATTGTCTTTTAGTTTTAATCTTTCAGAAAATTCTGTGTGGAATTGTGCCTTGTCTGTAAACGTATCCGCGGTAAAATGAAGTGAACAAAGGACCAAGTTCTTACTGACGCAGGCTGGAACTTCATGAAATATAAAGTTCACTCTTTCCTAATGTTGGGATCAGAAGAAAGGCAATGCAAAGACTGTATTTTTTCACAACTGGCACTGCACAGCGTCTTTATGGCCATTTTGATATATGGAGCACATAACATCTCCCACTGAAGCCATATTGACGGTCTTGCCTTCTATAATGACACACTAACTCAGAAATAGGTTAAGACCAATTTGTGGGCATTTATTGGCAAAAACTTAAGCAAGTAGGTAAACAAGTAGGTCAGCTTTATCAAAAGATGTAGATACCAACTAATGTATAAAACAGTTAAGTCAAGTCACCTTTATTTATATAGCACTTTATACAATATAGATTGTGTCAAAGCAGCTTTACAGTGTTAAACAGGAAAAACGTATGCTGATAATGCTAGAGGACAATAGTAAACAGTATATTTTTCAGCTAAAGTAAGTTCATTGTTGGTTCAGTGATGTTATCATCAAGCTCAGTTCTGTTCTTTTCAAATAGTGTCTGTGCAATCAAGTCGACAGTATTGCCAGAAATTTTGTCCCCAACTAAGCAAGCCAAGGGCGACAGTGGCAAGGAACCAGAGGTGTAAAGTATTTGAGTAAATGTAACTAATTACTGTACTTGAGTATCTTTTTGGATACGTTGTAGTTTTACTGAATATCAAAGATATTAGCAACTTTTACTCTCTACTACATTTTTGAATGAGTATCTGTACTCTTTACTTCACTACATTTGAAATGAGTGTTGCAGTTACACATTACATTTTGCATGGACCTAGCTTTTTCTGCAGCAGTTTATTTCTGCTACAAAAGATGTGAAATTGCCTACTACAGGGCACGATAGTCCTAGATCTTATGAGTTTTGTCCTTACTTACCCAAACTTGTCAACAAGGCTACTTTATGTGAATGCGAGTTCCTTAGCAAGTAGTTGTGAATCACAGGTATTTTATATGTAAGATTAGGACATGACTGCAGCCGGCAATGAGGCCGAAACCAGCACATCCACTACAAGAAGGCTTCGGCTTTTTAATTTTACTTAACATTATTTTATCTATCCTTTTTGAAGGATATTGTTGTTGTTGTTTTTGCAATTTTGAGGTGCTCAGTTTTATTTTGGTTTTAGAAAATAAACATAATTGTTCTCACAAATCAACTCTTTCTTGCTTTTGATACATTTTCTGTGCCTTGTCTTGGACTTTTATGTCACTTCCTTACTCCCGTGGTGTTTGTGGTCAGTTTGTAGTCCGTTTGATCATTGGTTCCCCTTGATTAGTCTCCCCAGGTGTGTCTTGTTATCTTGTTAAGCTTGTTAGCCCCCTGTGTATATATAGCCCTAGTGTTTCTTTAGTTTCTTTGTGAGTTGTTGAATGTAATGATTGTTCTGTTGTTTGTTTCCTGTGGTTTTTGGCTTATTGTTTGTTCTAGTTATTCTATCCTTGCCTCTGCCGGCTTCTCCACAATGTTACAGTTTTTCCCTATCATGTCTAGTGGTGGGCAGAGCGAGGCTTCATGAAACACTGAAACAGTCAAAGCAAATGTGCCAAGGCTTCGAAACAATTCGACACCCATCTCTACGGTGGCATGTTGTCAGAACCTGTCACTTTAAGTTTGAATCCCAGGTGAAGCATGTATATAATTATAATACATATTTGAAAGTTGTTTTTTTAATTGTTCTGTTCTTGTAATGTGTTGTAAAATCTCTCTGACAACTGAATGAACTCTTTGTGAATATGTTATTTTGGTCATGAAAAAATTAACATTAATAAAAGACATCAAGCCACAATGCCTGGCATTTTTTACATATAAAGATTTTTATTTAAATATATTAATTATTCTGCTGCATTAACTCCACTTTTATACTTTACGAGAGTTAGGTTAAGAGAGATGTGCGATTGTGTGGTTTGTTCCCGACCCTGTCGATCAAAAGCAGATTCGGGTCTGGAAACACTCGGGAAACGCCCCGATGTCTTAATCACATGACATGGGTGTTTCGAATCACACTTCGGAGAACTGTTTCGAAACCTCTGCGCTTCGGGATCTCGACACTGTGTCGAAACGTTAGTCAAGTAATCATGTCTCTTTGACTAGTACATCTTTGAGCCTATATTTAGTACAAGTAAAATACTTAAGTACTGTTAAAATCAGATACTCAGACTTTTACTCAAGTTGATTTGGAATTGGTGATTTGTAACTTGTAGTGGAGTAATTTTCACTGTAAGGTATCTGTACTTTTACTCAAGTATGGTTTTCACATACTCTTTACACCTCTGCAAGGAACCAACTCCATCGCTGACAGAAATGGAGAAAAAAACCTTGGGAGAAACCAGGCTCAGTCGGGGGCCAGTTCTCCTCTGGCCAGAAGAAACCAGCATGGTGTGTTTAATTCCAGGCTGCAATGCAAGTCAGATTGAGCAGAGGACTCATCTGGTTCTCGTGGTCTTGGGCCGATGGCCATCTAGGTGACGAGGTCTTCACTGGGGATCTGTCTCTAGGGCTCATCAAAACTGGTAACAGTCACTTTCTTCTTACAGGGAACAGAAGGTATATCCACAGCGGCAGGGACTACAACTAAGGATCTTGGCATTACTGGTAAGTATCAACAGGTAACAGTCTTTCTCTTCCCACAGAGTCTTTAGCTTAACAGCATTCAGAGAACGATTGCAAGCAAGAGATAGCTAAAACAGGAACTTATACAGATCAGAGCCCTCCAGCAGGGATGTATACAGGTAACTCCTGCATCAAACAAATCATTAAGTAATACCAAACAGCAGGACACAGGCTGACAACAAGAACAGGCAACTCATGACTATAGCTGCGTCCCAATTCAGAGACTGAATTCAAAGGCCACACCTTGTTGTTTAAATGGGACTCTCTAGCCTACGGAGGATTGATCTTGTCGCCTAGCAACTGTGACAGCTGTGTTTGACGACAGTAACATTTGTACTGGACATTTTTGAAAGTGATATTAAACTGGCCGAAAACAAAATGGTGTTCACAGCCTGTCAAAATATGTTCACTTTGGTCCATTTCTGTAAAAATCGAAGAGTATAAACTATATAAAATTGCATCTTAGTACAATACAAGTCAACATTTTAACTGCTTTAAAAAAATTTATTTTTACATTTGTAGAATTAGATATTCAAGTAAGTTGAAACCCAGTACTTACATTTAAAAGTGTAATTCTCTCAAAAAATCCTGTCGTCACTGGCACGCAATGGATTCTACATGTAGGGTAGGGTAGACCGCGAAAGGGGCCATTTGTTAAAGTCTTCATTGCCTGAGAAACGAAGGGTGCAGTTCCAGGCCGCATTTTAAGGAGCCTTTGAATTAGGACAGCCTTTTGTCGCACCTTTGTGATGCAATCGCCCTTCAAATCTGGTCCAAACACTCTGTTAATGAGACACAGGAAAGTCTTGTTAACACTTAAGAGACTGAGAATGAGTGCAAGAAGGAGAAAGTGGAGCAGAGTCCAAAGTGCACATGACATCTTGTGTATGCAGATTTTAAGGACCCACATTAGGTGAGAAAACAGTGAGGTAAGATTTCGTGACCCAATAAAAGTTATGCTAGTTGTTCTGTTTCCATGGTGATGGCTCTCCCAAGAGAGTGTTTTTCTTCACCCATTTTTCTTTATTTCAAAAAGAGGAGAAAACCCTTTCTGCCTGTTCCCAGCCAAACTAGAGCTGCCATCCTCATTGTCCCCAGAGGGGACTCCCTCGCACACATATAAAACTGCTGCTGCTGCAGTAATCAGTAATGCTGTCACATAAACCAATATTTAAAACCAGGCCCGGTTCTACGGGGGTGCTAGAGGGTGCTAAGCACCCTCAAACGAAATCAATAGCACCCTCACTTAAAGCTATATAGGCTATATATATATATATTAAAGCACCCTCACCAATTTAAGAAGCACCCTCAGTGATTTGATTCTGAAGCCAGGCCTGTTTAAAACACACACTAACAAAAGTACCATGTTTCCATCATGTTATTTGGGCATGTTCCATGGTGTACTATGTAAGTACCATTATGTATAAAAATAATGATCCTTTCAGGACCATGGTAATATCATCTAATACTGTGACTACTACACAGCACCGCCACAGCATTTCAGTAAGAAAGGACTATATTTAGCAGTTGTTTGTATTTATCATGTGCAAATGAGAGTATTGTTTTGTTCTTTGTCTCTAAGCAGAGACATGGGTGTTGTGTGTGTGCGCGTGTGCATTTTGTGTCCAGTCCTGAGGCAGTATATGCATCCCATCAGTATGTGATCAGTGAGGAACACACAGTCTGTGGCACAGAACTGAGAGAAGTACCTCATGTTTACTGCATGTGACGAGTCGGCTGCCTCCCCCTACTTATCAGCATCACCCCGTCCATTAATCACCGCCCTTCGCCAGGCTCCCGACAGGAGTGGGTGCATGAGAGAGGAGGGGCGCTGAAATAGCCAGGGCTGGGGGCGTGTGATGGGGCACACCTGAACCGAATGGAGCCTCATTACCGCCGCTGTTTAAATGCCGAGTGCGCCTCTCCTCGGGAGACTGGTCTCTTCCCCGTGCATGCACGCTGGTGTCCTCGTGGGTCCAGGAGGGGTGCGTAGAGGGACTCCCGCGCCGCCAGAGTCATGAGCTGCCGGACCCGCGGTCCGGACAAGAACCACACCCGTTACACGGGCGTCGGGCCAGGATGCCTGGCCGTCTAGTCCCTTCACGCGCCGTGGGCAACGAGAAAGAGGCAGGCGCTGGAAGAAGCCGCCGCCCCTCGCGCCCCGGACCGGAGAGGGGAGCGCGTGCACAAGAACAAGACACATTAATAATCAATAATGTTTTGGAGACAGAACAACATAAAACATCAAGAAAGGAGCATGTACAATCTAATATATGCATAACTGATGGTTCCAGTCCTTGATTCTGATTGGTCAACAAATGTGTTTTATTCTCCTTAAAACACAGCTATGACCACTTCACCTAAAGGTTTTGTGTATCACTGCGCAACATCCTTAGCAACCACCCCTAGCAACATAATCAATATAGCATCAAAACTGTTTGATGTGTTACTGTATGTATTTCAGCAGAATTAACAGTTTATTAGTTGTGTAATGACTTATGAGTGACCCCTGCTGCCATTATGTTGTGTTAGTCACCTTTAATTGTTTTTTCATGCTGCGAGATAAGCAGATGTATGTGTTTGAGAAAATATCATGATGCCAACCTCAGATGATGCCAACGCTGAAACATACAGAACTATCAAATTTTGCTATAAGTTTGATTGCATCATATAATAATTGCTGTTAATAGTGTTCATCGTCTGTTTGATTACGTCTTTAATTGATTTTTCCGTGCATTTCTGCCATATGAACATTAACTGACAGTCACCACTGATAAGCTACTACTAAATATTGTAGAAACGTAATTTTCTGTAAAGTTGCTTTGTAACGATTTGTATCGTGAAAAACGCTATACAAATAAACTTGAATTGAACTGAATCATATAGGGTGTTAAAAAAAATTCAGGGTGCTGGGCCGTGCATTTCAAACCTAGGCCTTTAGCGGCAATAGAAACAAATCAACAGTTAAATTGCAACGTAAAACATAAATTACAGTATTTTACACCTCACAAGAAATAACAGTAAATTTTATTACGGTTACTTTTCTTGATGAAGTATGCAGCCTACAAATTGCGACCTCCGGAGGACGCAGCCTCTGAAATGAGACACAGCGAATATTATACAGAAACGCAGTATAACAGGACATTGCATCACAGGCTCATGCAGCGAGAATTACCATTAGTAAAGCAAGAAAGACAATTCAGTCTCAAGTCTTCTTTTACTGCAGCCACAGCTGCGTCACATACATCATTTCTAAGCAGAAGCATCAATATTAACCTAATAAAAGTACAAAAAACACAGTCCACCCTGGGGATTACGGTTTTCCCGGGGATTTAAAATGAAGGCAAATTGTGTGTTTTTGTGCAAAACAAAAAGCATAAATGGTTCTTGAAAAAGCTTACTCTTGTGCGTTTCAGTTCCAGCAACAAAGGTATCATGTTTGGGTATAAAAGGAGCATCTCATTCTTTGCAAGCAAAGCTGCATCGTGGCTCATTACTTTGTGCCAAATTTCATGAGAGAATTGTCAAACAAATTAAAAAAAATCACATTTCGAAATGCAAAATCGCGAAGAATTTAGGTCTTTCACCAACTACCATACGTAATATTGTGAAAAGATTCAGGGAATTCAGAAATCACAGTACATGTAGGGCAAGGCAGGAAACCTCACTTGAATGTGCTTGACCTTTGAGCCCTCAGATGGCATTGCATAAGAAACCGTCATGCTGCGGTGTTAAATATAGCCACATGGGCTCAGGAGTACTTCAGAAAACTTCTGTCACTTAACACTAGGGTTGGGTACCGAACTCGGTACTTTTAAGGGTACCGACCGAAATGCGTCGGTACTACAGAGTACCGATTCACGTTAAATCAATCAGTGCCAAATTTCGGTACCTGAGAACGCATCTGGGCGCATACGCTACAGAGAGAGAAAGAGAGACCCTGTGACGTGAGGTCATCCCTGCAACTCGTTCAAACAACACACAGGGCAAGCCGAAATGTTCTGAAGTGTGGTTACATTTCTAGGGCCATATGGTTTCTGCGAAAACGCGGACGGGATCGCGGAGTCCATTCATAAAAACGTAATTTATTCTATAGCGCGGAATGCCACGGAATTCGTCAATTTTGGACGAATAAATCAAAAGTAGCCACTGCCACTTAATTCGAATCGCGATATGAAGTAGTGTCTGTGAATATTAGCGCCAAAATCGCAAAATTGCAACAAGACGTCATACTTAATCAAATAGACTGTAGCATGCTACGAAGGCTGCACACATAAATTCACGAAAATAAACTAAAAGAAAACGAGTCGGTTCTGAGATCATCTGAATTTTAGGATGCAGCCTTCCATTTGAGAAGCACCATTCACCTCCCTCATGCTCGCTAAAAGCCGTAATTACGAGAGTTGT